TCTACAATAAATCAAAAACTAGCCGGGCGTGGTAGCGCGCGCCTGTAGTTCCGGCTACTTAGAAGGCTGAGGCGGAAAGATCGCCGGAGCCCAGCAGGTCGAGGTTGCGGTAGCCGGGAATGGCCACTGCACTCCAGTCTGAGCGACAGAGTGAGACTCTGACTCAAAAAAAAAATGCATGAGAGCATTTTGTAAGATACTACAGAGGTCCCCCAAACCCCCATTTCTCTCTCTGTCCTGAGGAAGGCTTGTTCCGTGACCTGGCCAGCTGCATGCTTTCCCCTGCAGGCCTGAACCCAAGCGGGCCCTGAACGCTCCCAGGCACTGATGAAAGTGTTGAAGTTGCCGCCCAAGACACCGGGAGCCAAACTCCTTACAGGCTCACGTGATCCTACACTCTGCCCTCCTGGGGGACATCCCCAGGTGGGGCACTCCTTTCTCTCCGCCCACCCGAGGACACACTGCAGCCACTCACCAGTTTGTTCTCCAATAAATGCTTAGGATGGATCGCCCTGGCCTCTTTCTTGGAATCCCCAACCCACCCCATCTCTCTTGTGAGAACTCCCTACTGATGCTTTTGGGGTGACTTCAGTCGTGGTTCAGCTGGGATGAAACTCTAACAAAGCAGCGGGCCAATGTTAATAGCTATTTTCAGTTATATGCTAGCTTTTCCTTCATTTTCTTGAACTTCCCAGCACTTTTCCAGCCCTGCACATGGTTCTGGGTTTTGCCTCATCTTCCAGAAGTCTCTGTGACACTCAGAAAACGAACTCCTGCATCACAAGAGGAACTTAAAGCATTCAAAACCAACTGCAGGCCACCCTACTCTGTTTCCATCACTCAACAGGAAACAGCTGCCAGGCTACCAATTACAGAACAGATAAATGTGGGTAAAAGTGTTTCAAAATAGGCCTCTTAGTGTACACATACATTATTTTTAGAGCCTTCGTGCAGTCATTCTCAACACTATGACAGCTGGGGGAACAACTCTTGGTGAACAGATCTGTGCCACGTGTTAAGAGATGCTTTAGTATCCCTGACCCCCATCAGCTAAATCCTATCAGCACATCCAGTCCCTGCCACAACCTTGATCTTCCCCACTTCCCAGGGCTACTGTGGCAGGAAGATATCAGAGAAGATGTGATATTTACCCCACTTCACGCAAGCCTGGCAGAGAAGCTTTGTCAAATCCAATGCACCAATTAGAGTCAATGAGAGCCATCTAAAGAGATGCCCACCAAGTGGTTTGCTGTTGCTATTTTCTACAATGTGTCTGCATCGGAAGACCTGATTTGCCACGTGCCTTTCACTGTCAGTCACGTTCTCTAAGCCTGACTCGTGAATCTGAAGCATTCCAACATGTGCAAGCCGCCCGCTATGTGCTCATCCCACCCTCCTTGAGATTACTTGTTAGAAGGGTTAAAAATCTAAAGCTCTCATCTCAGATGCTTATGAGCTTGCAGCTGGATTTTACCAAGACACGCCACGTATGTATTCACAGCAGCCAAGGAGTAAAGCCCAGTTCCCAAGAAAGAAGGACACTCACCTCCGCTTATCATTAAAGAAGTTCGGCTTCTCGGCCTGAACGATGACCACATCAAACAGGTCCCTCCAGTCTTTCCCCACGATATAGCTCATCCCTTTGTCCCTAGGATACCAAGCCAGCCAGGTTAGCCCAACATGAAAGGTACTCACTGTTCTTGTAACTTTTCCTTCCCAATTTTCCCACTGCCAAGGTCAATGGAACATGAGAAGCGAGCCCGCAGCCAGCAGCGAGACACAGAGCACTTACACAAAGCTACTGGGGCTGTTGGTGATGAGGAACATCTTCTTGCCATGGTCAGCCAGTTTGGCCAGAACTGCGCGGGTCTGCTCGGCATAGCAGATGTACTTCTCTAGGACAAGAGACAGTGTCACACAGAGTCAGCATGAAATCGGCCAACCTGAAGGTACTTACTAAGCAGGCCCAGCACCGTCCTAGGCACAGGGTGGAAGAAAAGCCTTAAGGAAGCTTGGTCCAGGGTGGAACATGGGTATCCAGTGCATCAGTAACAAAGACCCTGCGCCCCCAGTCTAAGTGGAAAGAACTCCATGGCTGCTGCCACCAGCTCCCCTCCTTCTGAGCCAGAATTATGTCAAGGTCTTGGACAAAGAGGCGATGTCTGAGACATCGGGACGCAAAGTCCTTACACGGCACTCAGGGACGTACAGTAAATGCCTGTGTGGCTTCACGGCAAACAGAAAGGCTGCAAGTGTCTTCCTGAGAGTGTCAAGCACGTACCAATATCTGCTTCAATCGCTCTGTACATGATTCCCTTGATGTGGACGTCTCGAATCGAGTCCTGTCAAAACAGACATTTTTCATCAGTGAAAGTGTAACTTAGAGAGCATGAGTAACAAGACAAGTAATTGGCAGTGTGATAACGTTTGACTTTACCTGAAAATCCAGGTAACTAAACAAAATCTAAACTCTGCTCCATTTTCATAGGGGGCCCCTTGGGAAAAGCTTAAGTTTCCATGGTGAGAGTGGCAGTTTCCAACGCAAGTTTCAAAATGGTCACTTGGAAGAGATCATTTATGTGAATCATTCTGAATCAAGCCCCAGACGACAAACAGAAATGTATATAAGTGCTGTGGGCAAATGACTCCAGGTCACCTGGACAAAGGGCGCTACTGCTCTTTTCATCTCTGCACCCTTTCCATCCCTAGACCCCAACTTGAATTCTAAGACACAGAACAGGAAGCAGAGACCCACAGAAAACAGTCTCTCCTTCCCTCTTCGGTGCCACTAGCAGGGCAAGGAACTGTCAGTGAGACTGCAGCTCAGGCAGAGACATGTCTGACCGGCAGGTGCAGAAATGGGGAGAGGAGGAGGAGATAGCCCTTTGTAGGCTCAGGGGTGTGGCAGCCTGAGGCGTCGGTATAGAGTCCTGTTTGCAGGTGGCACTATGCAGGACCTCTACATGGGAGGTACTCCTGGCACACCTGGAATCTTTTTAGAGCCAGTAGTAGGAGATTGTGCCTAAGCCTTAGACTGTGAAAGGAGATTTCTGTCGAGAGTGGGCATCTCTGGACTGTAATCTCAACCCCAGTTACCTTTCAGCACAGGCCTGTTTCAAGTCCACACCAGCAGCAGAAGGCAGTGGTTAAATGCAAGCTGGATTGCCTGGCTTAAAACCCAGGCTCTCTACTTATTAGCTGTGTGATCTTGGACCCTTACACAAATTCTCTGTGCCTAAATTCGTAATCTATAAAATGGGATGGTAATGGTAACATCTATCTCAAGATATTATTGTAAAGCTTTAGTGAATTAATATGCACAAAGTACTCAAAAGAACAGTGCCTGGGACCTAGCAAACTCTACATAAGCGTTGCTCTTGGTGCCGCTAATACCTATAGTAAAAACTGAACTTTCAGATAAACACTTCGTCTCCTGAGTGCACAGGGCGGGCTGCTACAAGTGATTCTCAAAGGTTCTCAAGAATGAACTATCCGTGCACACAAAAAGGAGAACAAACACTAAATATTCAAATTCAGTTCAGCCTAACACCAGACTCATGCTGGAAAGCTATAACTGGTTCCTTATCTTCCTAAAACCTGGGACTCAGGGCATCAAAATTTTAAATTAGTCCTAAACATATAATAAAAGTATCTAGTGTGTAAATATGTATCTTTCTAAAGTATGAATATTTTAAACAAATATAAGTAAATACAGATTTATAAATATATATTACATATGTAAAATTAAAAATATAAACATCTTAAGTGTTGAAAAAGTTTATCCAGCTTAAAGAATGTATATAAATATACATACACGTGAGTATAAATATAAATTAAAATATATAAATTTATAAATACAAATAATGTGTATAATAAGTACTTAATGTTTTCCATAGGTCCTTAGAAACTGCAACTTAAATAGACATGATGTATAATAAAGCCCAGTTTTTTCTCATTCACATTGTAACAAAATGACATTGAAGAAAATAACATTATTTGAGGATGTACTGCAAGTGGTTTCACTAAAATTGTCGTTTCCCGGAACCCACGGGCAGCATTCTGTGAGGCTTGCTGTATATGCTCGTGTAAATGTTTACCTCTGTCTACGCCACCCTCTCCAGTCAGATTCCTGCAAGGCTTTTTGCAGGGCCTCTGAAAGCCACACAGAACCTTTGTCAGCAGGAGGAAAGGGCACTTCCTCCGGACAACTGCAGTCACACAGGCCCCACCCTGGGTCATGAAGAAGAGACACCCCTGTTTGGGCAGGTTCAGGGGTACGCTGGGGACAGGCTGGACTTCCACACCCCCTCCCTCCTTCGGCCAGGTGCACCTGGCCTTCTGGTCAGAAAGGACTAGCAGTCTAGATAACAGTGTGAGCACCATCTTGTTTTTTTTGTTTTTTTTCTTTTGAGTTGGAGTCTCATTCGGTCGCCCAGACTGGAGTGCAATGGCTGCTCCTGGCCACCGCAGCCTCGACCTACTGGGCTCTGGCAATCCTTCCGCCTCAGCCTTCCAAGTAGCTGGAACTACAGGCGCGCGCTACCACACCCGGCTAATTTTTTTATTTATTGTTGAGATGAGGTCTCGCCAAGTTGCCCAGGCAGTTCTTGAACCTACGGGCTCAGGCAATCCACTCACCTCAGCCTCCCAAGGTGCGGGTTACAGGCTGAGCCACCGAGCCTGGCCACCATCTTGTTTTAACAAAGTCTTGACTGATCTCTAGTCCTTCTGATAGAACATCACCTTTCTTACCATATTCAAGGTTAAACCACAAAGAGAGAGCCCAGCTAAGAGACTATTTAAGACACCTAGCCTAGAAAGGAGGCTCAGGCTCCGTTGCTTTAACTGAAAAGCTGAAGCAGACGCAGCCTCTGATCCCTCACTGTTGATACAACCTTGACATCTTTGTACAGATGGACAGGCTCATAGTCGATGTTGTTCTTCAGAAAATATTCATTCACGCAGGACAGGAGCGTCATCTCCGGCAGGGAGAAGATGTCCATGAACTGCTTCATGGTGTTCCCATGAGAACTCTGCAGACAGGCGGAACACGTTAGAAACAGGGTCCACCCCAGTGGCAGAACGCAATGCAACCAAGCGCTAGGGATAGCAGGAAGACGTCATTTACTGGTCGCCAACATCTAGAGCCCTCTCCACAAAGAAAGGACAATTCTAATAACGAGAGAGCAAAATGTTCCCTTTGTCCCTCACCACTCGCAGCAGAGCTAATGCTGCACTCTAAGCATAGCTAGCCCACCCAAGTCCAGTTACCTCCCCCATTCCACTTTCCCGTGCGCTCAATCCAACTCCCAGGAAACACAGAGAAAAGCTGGCAGATGACTGTCCATAAAATGGCATAAAAAGTCACTTAACCCTCCATCATTGGGACACACCCTCCGGGCCCATATCAGAACTTTTTTTAAAAAAACCTTCTCTGAATGTTTGTGGTTTAGATGAGGGGGGACCCAAAAAAATGGAATTTATTTATTAAAAATTGTGTGCTTATTCTTATATGTTTAAATTTCAGTCACCTTCAAAGCAACTCTCGGTGTGATGCAATACACCTATCAAGATGCTTTTTCCACTGCTCAAAACAGTTTGAACTCATCAATTTTGATGCCTTTTAGTACTTCTGCCTGTTTTTCCCTTTTCACTTCTTCCACGTCGGCAAAACATTTCTCCCTGAGGACATTTTCATTCAAGGACACACAGAAACGTCTCTCAGGGCAAACAGGGAGGGTGGGACAGAGGAGTCATGCCATTTTGGGGGCAAAAACTGCTGAACACTCAGCACAGTATGGGCAGATGCGCTTGTAAATCACCCGTCATGAAATGGGCAACTGCGCTGAAAGGATCTTCAAAAAAATAGGCACTGAAGCTGAATGCAGCCTCTCACACAACAACACTAGCTGGTACACTGATGCAGACCGGTTCCTAGAACGCTCACCTAGAGGGGGAAGCCTGGATGGCAAGGGGCCCACCGGCCAAAAGAAAATTCGATTTCGGGGGGCATCCCCCCTCGTACTATAGATGCCCCTCGATCTATGATGGGGTTAATCCCAAAAAACCCAGCGTAAGTCAAAAGTACACGAACACATCTGACCTACCAAGCATCTTAGCTTGGCCTAGCCTGCTTTAACCATGTTTAGAACACTTACATTAGCCTACATGGGGCAAAATCATCCAACACAAAACTGATACTATAATAAAGTGTTGACTAGCTCATGTAATTTATTAGATAATGTAATTTATAACAAAATTGCAGTAGTTTTGCACCATGCTAAAGTTAAAAAACTGCAAGTGGAACCATCATCGTCAGGGAGCAACCACCAAGTTTACTGGCTGACGGGGTATCCTCTGTTCATGCCAACAATGCAAGCGAGTGAGTGCATCTAACAAGACAGCAGCAAGCATTCTGAGAGGAAGGAGAACCAAGAGTTAGAAAGGCCAAGGCTTCTCTCCAGGCAGAAGGCACGGCCACACCACATTCTAGGCACAGCACAGGGAGGTGACAGCTTCTGCACCAACAGCCCTCGCCCCTTCCAGAGCCCACTCCAGAAAGGAGGTGTGGTGCTCAACAGGGGGAGGCACAAGGGAGGAGAAAGCGCTTCACCAGGTAGGGAGAAAGGAGACTCGTGAAAGACCTGGGCGGCTTCTGAACTCACCAAGTCTCTCTCAAACAGTCTCAACTCCTTGCCAACTCCCTGTGGGCAGCAGGAAAGTCTGCGCTCCAGGATCTATGAGGCCATGCTTCACGAAGGAAACACGCAGGCTGCTTCAAAAGAGGAAAGTGCTTCCCTACCTTTCCGTAGAAGTCACTCATCTGCTCCAAGGGCACATGGGACCCCTCGTACATTTCAATGACTTCTTCATCGGGGACGACACTGAGGCCTCTAGAAAAGTCAGAGTGCGTCAAGAGCTCAACTAGAGAGGCCTGTGATTCTCAGCCCTCTGTTGACTGCTGGAACTTTCGGCTGAGGTGCAAGACACCGCCATGAGGCAAACTATGCTGCAAATAAATGCGAAGCGTGTCAGGCAGGAGGCGACGACCATTACCACTGCTACTGTTGTCCCGGTAACAAGAGCTGGAGTAAAGATCACCAGTACCACCTGACGCCCTCCAGGTGCCAGACACGAATGACATCTAGTCATCCACTTGATTCTCAGCCATCCTAGGAAGGAGGCCCTGTTAATCTTGCCACTTTCCGGCTGAGGCAACCGAGGCACAGAGAGGTCACACGCCTTGTCCCAGGTCACCAAAGTAGAAAGTGGCAAGTCAGGATTGATCCCAGGCTTCCTGATGCTAGGATCCAGGCTCTCGTTCCTAGTGGTTCCTTAAACCACGAAGGACCAGGGCTTCCTAGTGACTTGCTTTGGGGCAGGTTTTTTAAAAATGTTTTTCATACATTAGGGCAGAGAAAGGCTGGTTTTGTCTCCCACACACACCCTCCTGCCCTCCAGTGCACGTCCCTGAGACAGGTGCTGAGGTGGCAGCAGTCACACACGAGGTTCAGTGGATTAAACTTGGTGACACGAGACAGGTCCCAGTGTCACCACTGACACAGACAGGGAATGCCCTCAGATGCTCTGGGACACTGACGGCTGTTTCCTGATTCACCATCTAGAAGTGCAAATGATCCAGCTCTTCCACGTACAGGAAAAAAAAAAGTCTGGAGTCAGTGGCCTAGGTTTCACCCCTGCCTCTGCCCAGTGATGTGCTCAGGTGCCGGTGCAAGTCCTGCACACCTGGGCTCGCCTCCTCTGGAGGGCCATGACGAGTCATCTGCTCTCCAGTCCTCCTGCAGAGGAGACAGTGCCTAAAAAGTGGACACTGGCAATTACAAAACTCCAGAATGAATAACACTGTGCTACAAGAGGAGTATGGATAATTCAAGAAGTTTAGTTGCCGATACAAACGGGCTGCGTAGCATACAAAACCACACAGCCAAGATTAAAGCCCATATACAATACCGATTGTTTTGATATGTGATGTTAACAAAAATATTCCTTCAACCTCCTTCCCTGACCTCCACCCCCAGATTACTGGTTGAAGTATCCAAGTGGAGTCATGGACACTGTGCCTCTGATCTTGACGAACTTGTGACAACTCCTGGCCTTTGGAAACAGAAGCTGCACTGAACTCCCTTTATCTTCACTCTGGAAATCAGATAAGACTTGGGCACTCACCCAGATCATTCTAGGCCGTGACCTTGGAAACCGGGTCTTGCTGAGTCACCACAGGCAGGCGTCCACACTCCTACAGCTTTAACACTCAGAGGAAAAGTTAAAAAGTGTGGTGACTCAGCCAGGTGAGCTATTTCCCTGCCCTAAGAGCCACGGCTGCCTCTCAGGTTCAGGCGCTGCCACAGGGTGCATCCTCAAACACCAAGCAACCAAACGGCAACTCAAAATAAACTCTGTCAGTCCCCATCAGTCGCATCCCCGGAGGCAACTGCAGTGAATGGAGAGCCACACAGGATCTTGACAGGCATAAGCGGGCCACTGGCCGCATCTGAACACCATGTAACCAGCACTGAGACCCAGAACCAAGCTCCTTGCCCGGCCCCACGTGGGGCGATGAGGAACGCAGAGGCCAAGAGCACAGATCTGAACAAGTCGGCCCGGGCTGTGGTCCCATAGTTACGAGGGGCATGACCCTGACATAATTTCCCCTCTCTGGGTCTCAGTTGTCTACCCTAAAGCTGGATGTGCCTGTATCAACAACAAGAGTGCCTGCCTCCCTGTGCTACTGACAAGACTGAATGAGTCCTACACAGAACCGCTGGAACGTGGTCAGCGCCGTCAGAGTCTCACTGGTGTGCTTGTGAGGGGACTCCCCAGCTGTTCACAAAGTTCTTAGCAAGAACGTAAAACATGGGTGCCAAGGCAGGGCCGCCAGTGAGACCCCTGCTCTCCCTGGGCTGGGGCACTCACTCCTACGGCCCGAAGATGAAACCACCTGGGGTCGGAACTGCAGACCCGCAGTTGAGGCTTCGTCATCTTCCCGTTTCTCCCTCACTCACGACCCTTCTCGAGGAAAGAGAAGTGACACACTGGTGCCCATGATGCTTGGGCACTGCTCCATGCGTGCTCACTGCCCAACAGGCTGCCCTAAAGCAGGCACTGGAATCATGCCTGCTTCACGGAGAGGAAGCCACGGCTGCCAGAGTCCAGCCTTGCTCAAGACCACACGCGTGTGCACAGGGAAGTTGGGGCTCACACCCAGGAAGTGTGGATCCCCCAGAGTCCACACACTCTCCAGGCTCGGCAGCCACACTCCTGTCATCACTGATGCACAGTGACCTTCCTGCCCCCTGCACCTGACGCTCCTTCCCCGAGTGCCTGGAGGGCTCCTCCTTAACACCACAGACGAGGTACAAGCCAGCAGACGAAGCAGAGCAACAAGGAGTGCTGAGGCGGCAGTGGCAGAGACAGGAGAAAGCACCACAGGCTGAGGGCAAGGAGAGGACTCGCCAAGGTAGGCCATGAAGAGTGGGTGGGATCGCAGCAAAACTGCATCCCGGTGGCACACGGAGGAGCACGTGCAACGGGGAAAAGGAAGAATGCTGAGGAACAGAAGCTACGTGTTGCTCTCCCAGCCTGGCACTCTTTCCTTCTTCACCAGCTGACTCAGGACCAAGCACAGGACCCAAGGCTTCCCTAGGAGATTCAGTCCTGAGACTCGGGCTGTACTGTAGAGAAGCAAAGCCCCTCTCAGGCTGGAAGGATGAGAGCCCGGCACTGTCAGAGGCCACTGCGGACAGGCTTTCCTGAGAGTAAGCCAAGTCAGAGAAGAAGACAGAGAGGAAATAGAAAGAGTTCAGATAATGGCAACTCGGGCCCTGGAGCCAGCCACAACTGCAACTAACCCTGTCCCTAGGCTTTATCATTCAACTCTACAACCAAGAGTCTGAACAAATCCAGTACATAAAGGAGCTGCATATGGAAGAAGAGGAAGCTGAGGGTTTAGAGGAGGTTGAAACCTACTGCCTAAGCCTAAGCCTAGGCTTGGTTTATTCTGTAAGCAGTGTGGAGCCATTCACGGTATCAGGAAGGGGTTGTTAGGGGTAGTGATTTAGGGTGATCAGTCAAGCAACAACATCCATGATAGACTATGTTGTAGAAAACACCAAGAGTCAGCCGGGCACGGTGGCTCACACCTGTAATCCCATCACTTTGGAAGGCATAGACAAGAGGACTGCCTGAGCCCAGGGGTCCGAGAAGAGCCTGGGCGACATGGCAAGACCTCATCTCTACAATAAAAAAAAAAAAAACAGCCAGGCATGGTGGCACATGCCAGTGGTTCCAGCTACTTGGAAGGCTGAGGCGGAAGGATCACATGAGCCCAGCAGGTCAAGGCTGCAGTGGTCTGTGAGTATTCCACTGCACTCTACCTTGGGCGACAGAATGAGACTCCAACTTAAAAAAAACCGTCAAGAGCCCCAGGAGAGAAGGGTTAAGAAGGTGACAGGAGAGACAGAGATAGAGGGACAGAATCCAAAGATCTGGTAAGGATTTTCAAGGACACAGATAACCCTGCTATACACACACACACACACACACACACACATACACATAGATACACACACATACACACATATATACATACACACATACACACCATCACTTCAATAATTTTAGGAAAACAGGTGCTATTAGAAAGGGAGTGAATATTCATGACTCGCCTGGGCAACTTGGCGAGATCTCATCTCTACAATAAATAAAAAAATCAGCCAGTCGTGGTAGCGCGCGCCTGTAGTTCCAGCTACTTGGAAGGCTGAGGTGGAAGGATCGCCGGAGCCCAGCAGGTCGAGGCTGCGGTGGCCGGGAGTGTGCCACTGCACTCCAGTCTGGGCGACAGAGTGAGACTCCAACTCAGAAAAAAAGTGAACAAGACCTTCCAAGTCATCACGTAAACAGTGACTGGTCCAAGAACGAAATACTGAGATCTTAATGAGATGAGAAGAATGAGGCTGGACGCATACGTGTGGGGAGGGCCAAGTTCTCATCTGTCACAGGAGGGACTATGACCAACATGGATCAGTTAGGAAATTTAAGAGCAGACATGTTTCTTCGAAATAGGAAGAAAAGTATGGCACGACGGCTCACACCTGTAATCTCAGCACTTTGGGAGGCCAAGGCAAGAGGACTGTTTGAGTGTAGGAGTTCAAGACCAGCCTGGGCAACAATGTAACAGGACTCTGTCTCTACAAAAAAGTAGCCTGTAGTCCCAGCTACTCAGGAGACTGAGGTGGAAGGACTGCCTGAGCCCAGGAGATCAAGGCTGCGGTGAGTTGTGATTATGCTACTACATTCCAGCTTGGGTGACAGAGCAGACCTCAAGAAGGAAGGAAGGGAGGGGAGGACGGTGGGGGGGGGGGGAGAAAGGAAGAAAAATACCAAAAAAAATTCTGAAGGGTTTGGGGGAGGGGGGGGACACAGGACTTCTGCTGTTCCTTATGACACCTTTAATACTGTTTGGTTGTAACTCTATGTATGTTTTACTTTGATTTAAAAAAATAAACTTTAATTTTTAACGAAGAATCTACTGAAGAAGAATCTAAGCTAAGATATGCACATTATTTTAAGTATAAGCTATGAACCAAAATACACATCACACTCTTAAATTAAAGAATTCAAAGAAGCAAAACCCTCCATTTAAAAAATTACAAAGACTTTTGGCTAAGTGAAGTACTTATACTAATTCTAATAACCAGCGGAAGAGTCTCAACATCTAAACCGCCCAACCACCCAGGTGGGAGTGAGAACCCGGCCCCTCGGCCCACAGCCTTCCCCTCCAGGCCTCCCAGGACCCTCCCCCAGCCCGCCAGCCCGCCAGTCCCCTAGCCTGAGACTCCGGAGAACCTGTGCTCCGCTGGCATCTTCCAGAGTCCCCTGGGTGCTCCCCAGTGGTCTGAAGACATTTCCATCATGGCCTCTGTTGTCACGGGCTGCAGGAGTCTACCTGTGTAGCTTCCCACCCAACACACTGAGCTCCCTGAGGGCATCCCTGTAAGCCAAACCCTTGGCACCTAGCATGGCAGCAGGCCTCATAAATGCTTGTGAGTGAGTGAGTGTGTGAATGGATCATCAAACACACACTGCAGCCCTCCTCAGCACTCGACAGTCCATGGGTCCTGAAACCCAATGCCACTCGGTTACTTTGAGTGAATTAACTTTCTCTCTTCTTACACTTACCTATAGACAGTTCCCAACTGGATATAATGAAAAGCATCAATCTTCATCAGTACTGCCTTTAAAACATAAACATATGCACAGGTAAATAACGCACAACCATTTGCATATCAAGTGACCAATCCCGGTGTCACTAAGTCCTGTCAACCTGAGGCTGCCTGCAGGAAGCACACTGTGGTTCCTGAAGGCTTCCTGTTAATTAAGGAGTTGGATGGCCCTTTCAGGAAACAGTCTAACTGCAAAAGACACAAAAACAGATACAGCAACCGGCTCCTCCTCAAAACACCAAAAATGACTACTAGAAATAAACAGTACCTCCCAAATAGCTCAATGAGGTCATCTTTTCTAATATGTAATCTCTCCAAAAAGATTTTATCCAAAGATATTTGAATAATTTGGTTGTGTAGCCCCCAAGAGCATAATTTTAAACCAATTTACTGTTCAGCTAAGAAAAGCACCGAGAGATTTCCTTTCCAAACACCATGAAGCTGTAGAAATACACGAGCAGTATACCTACCCGCTGCACGTCATAATGGAGTCCACGAATTGCAAAGCTGGGGTCATACTCATACTTCCTGATTTCCATGGGATACTAAGAAAGAAAAAAGGAAATGGCTTTTGCCACCCACGTATCAAGTTCAGGACCCCATCCAGATCTGTCCCTGTGCAAAGACTGAGGTAGCTGGCACCGTAGTGGGAAGGTGAGGTCAAGGAGGGACAGGCCACAGCTTGTCCCCCCATTTCCAGTCCAAGCACCTCCTGCAGATGCCGGGCCACAGAGCCCACCTCCCATGCCCTCCCCCCATGTCCCTAGGCTCCCAGACCCCAAGATCCCAACAATACACCTGCTTCCACCTCGATGCCTATTCCCTCCTCTTCCTTCCAAGGCTACCGGGAGAAGAAGCTGGAGCGTCCCCTCTCTTGCTAGAAGCATGACTTACGCAAGCACGTTGTCAACCATCGCCCCACTCGTACTGGAGCACCTATGTGTCGCAGCCCTGGACGGCCCCGCAGTTTCACAGGGAGACCCGAGGTCATGGCTTCACTCTCCTGAACAGCTGGCTGCCACCATCTCCCAGGAGCTGGGGTGCACACAGCCTAGGGAGGCCCTTCCTCTCACCCACCCTGCACAGCGCCCTGTCACAGCACACACAGGGCTCGAGGAGGCAGCGCTCCTCCCCCGGAACGCCCTAGTCGTCCAGTCACTCCTCACATGCATGCCGGTCCCTCCTCATTTACGGCTCCAGGCACCCAAGTCCTTCCCTTCCTCGTGCGCTCTCCCTCCCTCCCCACTCCCCAAATCTCGGATCAGACACCCACCTGGCGGCACTGTCTCTGCTGCAACCATGCAGCAGGTCCCACCATCCCCATCTTACAGAGGAGACATCAGAGGTCACCTCTGACACCGGGGCCCAAGCCACCCCACCGGGGCACTCTGGGCAGGGAGAAAGGCGTGGGTCTGCACCCATGTTCTTCCCAACCGGCCTCTATCCTGGAGCAAGACCTGTGGGATAGAATATCTATTCCTAAGCCTGGAGAGGCGATGTCAGCAGGATCTTCCCATCGTGATGCAAACTGCTTAAGTCAAAACCCAGACAGCTGTTAGGACGCCCAGGAAACCTCCTTTCATGGCTACTCTGCTGATTTCATGGTCAAGGCCACACATGTGCGAAAACATCTCCCAGGACCACCAGATGACCTGCCCGTGGCAAGTTTTCAAGTGAAGCTGCACCAAGCGCTGCCTCAAATGTCTCATTCAGCTCATTTATCCACCACCAGCCATGCAGGCCAAGAAACCAGCAAACTGGTGCTCCCGCTCCTGGGCACTTCCAGGACTTCTGAACACTATGTCCGGACCGGCATTTATACAGGCATACCTGACAAGCTGACACAGACCAGCGTCTGTCACTCCAGCTCTGCTAACCAAGGGGGCCGAGGGACCTTAGCTCAGGACTGATGGACGAATAAGACGTCAGACAGGAAGGGGACCTTGCAACATCTCCAAGGGAGGCGCCTTGGCACCGGCTGAGACCCTTCTGCAACTTCATCTGTGTATTCCTTATTACCCAGCATGAAGGAAGGGGACATCTCCTGCCTGCTTCACTGCCAAATAGCCTGAAGGTTAGAGGCATGGAATTTGTCCAAGCTCACACAGCTAGAAAGTGGCCAGGCCAGTGGTAGAACCCAGGTCTGTGTCACACCCACGTCCACCTCTACCCACCACACAACCAATTCTGACCTACTCTGAGCCACTGTAACTGGATGCCAGTGGCCTCGGTATGACAGCAGCAGTCGCTGCCTGAAGGTGCTCGACAAGTGAGCTGGAAGGACTCGGAGTGGCCTGGCTGTTCTCACTGACTGCTGTGCAGGGACAGAGAGCGTGTACTGCTGAACAGGCTGGCGGTTCTTTCCTTGAAGGAGGCTTCTCTGGGCCCCCAGCAGGACACACTCCCCCCACTCACGGGCCCCTGGCCTGTCGCCCTCACTGTTATTGTTATTGGGGAGTCACCCCTGGGAGACACACAACGTCATCAAATCGTCCAAGTATTGGCAAATAACCCTAAGAACTGCAGCTGAAAGAGCCTCACAGGACAATGGCATCGTAACAAACTGGGCTCTGGGCTGAGAGTCCATGTGCTGCTGTGGGACCCTAGGTAAAGTGCTCTGTCTCTCTGAGCCTTGGTTTTCTCATCTACAAAGTAGGGATAATAGGAGTCCTGCCCTATGTGCAAGGGCAGAGCTTTCAACAATAACGTCCAGCTCTGAAAGTCAGAGCTGTTCATGGTGGCATTGGTCATAGTCCTCTCTGATTGTCTATGGCCAGGCTGTCAGGACTCTTCATAGTTTAAAACTCTCTACCCCCTAGAAAAGCAAGACTCGCTCAGCATGAGGCGTCCTGGACATAACTGGCATCCCCCAAATCAGTAAGAAATGTAAAAGATAAAAGACCTTTACTGAGGATTTTTGCTAAAATTCCAATCGGGCCCAGTCTGGTTTCCTTCAGTACCTGGACGTGTTCCAATCCCAGGTACAATCGGGGCAGGCTACTGTGTGCAGATAAAGAAGAGGACAGTGTCTACCTGAAAATGCTAGGGAAACATCCCTAGCTTCAAGCAAAGTCAACATCAAAATGCTGCAGAGAACCTAGGAATGCCCCACTCCTAGATAACGACACACCTCTGAACACCGCCATGGGTTCCTGAGGTCCACAGGCCTATAAACATACTCGTCTCCTGGATATATTTTTCAGTTTGATATTTAAAGAAACTTACATCATGAGTCTATATAGAAACAGGGCAGACGGGCCACAAAAACAAAGTCCTCTGAAAACTACATGAGGCACGAAGCACAGGGAGAAGGACCCCAGAGTGCTAGCCCTGCAGGAAGCGTGACACTCTCACTTACCTGGGAATCCATGGATGCACATGTCAAGTATTTATTGAGGAAATATTTTGGCCAGGGCCTGGGGATGCAGCAGTGGCCAAAACTGACAAAGGCCTCTGCCCCTAAGAAGTTCCCATTCTACCGTGAGGAGGAAACCGTCAACAAACACACGCACAGAGAGTGCAATGCCTCAGTGTATGTTCTATGCAAAAAATGCAGTACGAGAGTTCACAGATCTGAAGGAAAACCAAGGAGCAAACTCCAGGCTGTCTGGCGCGGGAAGGGCGTCCCAAGGCTGAGGACCCAGCCAGCGCCACGGGCAAGCACAGGAAGGTATGTGGTGTTCAAGAAGCGGTGAGGAGGCCAGTGTGGCTGCAGGGGAACCAGCGAGAGTGGGGGCCGTGGGGAGAGGGGGCAGCAGGGATGCTAAGGCTCCGGGCACGGCGCAGCCCTTGCTAGGACGGGATGAAGACGGCACTGGCCTCCGGGAATGGCCCTCCTTCCCAAAACCCACAACCAGCCTCATCATGAGGAAAAGACGTCCAGCATCTGACTGGCACTCTTCAAAACTGCCCGGGTCATCAAAAGCAAGGAAGGTCAGAGAAACCATCACAGCCAAGAGACACCTAAGGAGACGTGACAACTAAAATGTAACGTGGTGTCCTGGACGGGATCCTGGAGCAGGAAAGGGACGTTAGATACAAACAAAGGGGCAATCGGAATGACGTCCTGGGCTTCAGCTCACCATGACGTTATTAATATTAGTTCTTTAGTTGTGGCAAATGTACCATAGCAATGCACAATGTTAACATGAGGGAAAGCTGGGCGTGGGATCTGCAAACAGGAACTTGGTATTCTCTTTCATAAAAGCCTGAAACTATTCTAGAACTAAAAGCTTATTTAAAGGAGAGAGAGCGCTCGCAGCACCTGCTGAGAGGCCAGACATGGGACGGCACACGGGGTCACCGCGGACGCCAGGCTTTGGATCTGAACACCTGGAGGACTGCCAGTGCAACTGCGAAGGGATCTAACAAAGGTACGAATGTGAGACGGAAGCATAACTGGCATCCCCCAAATCAGTAAGAAATATAAAAGATAAAAGACCTTCTTCCCTCCTCCTACCCCTGGGCAGATCCAGGAGATAAAAATCCAGACACGTAATTACTCAATTTTTTTTTAAATTTCCATTTATGTAAAAATTTGTTCTTATAAAAAAAAAGAGTAATTACACAGGAGTTGGAATTTTAACATTTGCTTTTTGGAAAGATGCTAAATTGTAAATTTACTGTTCTATTACTGCATGTCTCAAAAGCAGATGTCTTCCCATCTCCGCAACTACACAACGAGGTTTTAGTCTTGGCAGCAAAAATGGGACCGCACCCAGTGCCTCCTGGAAGAATTATTTTGTTTAATCAGAGCAAGAGGAAAATCTGCATAAGCATAATCGACTCTACTAATATGCTTGATATAATTAGTATTGTAACTCCTTTTATCAAAGCAACAAACAGATATGAGAATAAAATTTCAATGATCTTAAATTCAGAGGCATTTCTAATTATAATGACTGGACCTTTTTTTAATCCATCTATTTTATCTCTTTCCCCCGTAATTTCATAAATCTCTTATGTTCATAAATGCTTTATTTTCATGAATATTTTATGTTCATCTGAGCAAAACATCCACAGGATGGAAAGGTGTCACCAACCCTACAAAGAGGCAAAGTGGAGTAGAAAAGGGAACACAAGTCCCCTGGAGAGAGATCTGGGTTCAAATCCTGGTTCTGCCTCCCACTACCTCCACTGCCTCCACTGGCCTATGGTCTTGAACAGGCATCCTAAGTCTTGTAACCTCAGTCTCCTCAACTATAAAACAGAGACACCATGTATGGGCAGGGCTGTCATGCAGACTAGAAATAATGTTAATAAACAGCTAATATTTATTGTTTTCTATGTGTCAGATACTTTCCATATGTTAATTCATGCAGTTATCACAATAACACGGTAAGGAAAGCACTGTTATTATGCTCATTTTACAGAGGAGAAAATGGAGACCCAGAACAAGAATATGTAGGAAACAAATGGTGAAGCCAGGATTTGAACCTGGGCAGTCAGGCCTTAGAACCTCTGCTTTCGGCATCTGACAATCAATGAGCGGTGCTGTTAGGGTCACGACCTGATTTTTATTCATGGCATCCAAGTCGCAGAAAATGCTGCAGCTGACCTACAGAATGCCAGCACTAATGCCACACCCTTCAGTTCCCTCTCCCTGGGGCTGGCGAAGCGATGGCACAGGTGGCAGACAGGAAGCCAGGGCAGAGCCACCTGGTTCTTCATCTGCTTTGGCTAGTTTAGATACAGAGATGAGTCTCTAGAACAAGCAGTGACCAGCAGCTGGATAGCAAGCAGCCAGGTGGCTTCATATCTGGTCAAGTGGTCATAACTAAAGACAGCTGGCTGTTGGTTCAGTGGCAGAAGGGAAGGTACTTTTTGGCAAATGCCATTTCTGTATTTTGGATAAGGACAACGTGAGTTGTTGAAGTCCACCAATAACCAAAAGCTGAGGACAACCAGAAAATACACTGGATCAAATGGTCAGGATCCAAAGCTAGTGGGAACTTTGGCCTCATTAATGAGAGTATGGTATCCAGAAGCAGGGAGGTGGTGGTCTCCCTCTATTTCACACTAGTCAGACTCCACCTGTGGTAACATCTTCAGTTCAAGATCACATTTGAGAAGGACAAACAGAGCATACAGAAGGAAGGTGACCAGGATGATGAAAAGAAGAGAAAAGAGGACAAATGAGAATAGTTAAAAGAGCTGAGGACTGGCCAGGGAGAGTAGAAGTGCTGGCGGGCATCAAGGCGTCTACACAGTATCAACCCATGAGATGTCCAGTACTCAACAGTCAGATACATAACAGGAGTTTGCATGACTCGGGTTGGTAGGCTGCTCACCCACCCACCCCTCGTCCACCTTTGCTGGCAAGCTCCTTCGTGACTAGGCTGAACTGTCGTCACCGTCTTTGTTTCTCCAACTCCCTCAGGTGGAAAAAGTTGTTCCAGCCACCCTCTATGCATCCTCAACTCTCTGTTCAGATGTCTACAACAGCCTCGGCTAGGAGGCTTCCCAACTGATCTGCTCGCGTGGCTGACTCCCTGCTGGGCTGCTGGGTCTCCATGAGCAATGCCCACCTCCTTGCCTTTATCCACAGAGGAGACAGTAAAGGCTTAAGGAAGGAACAAATGAATGAGGAAAAGAGAAGATATCGATGGTGGAAGCTGTATGAAGGCTAAACTGCTCAACCACGGAAGAACTTCCCAAAACTCAGAACTGCCTCCTGGGGTCACGTGTGCCTGTCTGAGATGGAGATCCAGCCTTACTTCTCAGGCTGCAGTAGGCATTCGCAAAGGACATTAGCCCTTGTGATGTCTGAGGATGCTTTTCATCCTGACTCCTGAAATGTGCACTCAAGTCAGACCACAGAAAAGAATGACAATTTTCTTTTTCTTCCTCATTAAAAACTTTCAACAATATGGTACATCAGAAGACATGCAAATATTCTTTACTCTCAGCAATTCAGACCAGTGCTGAGAGTAACACACTTCCTCTCATTTGAGGACTTCTTTCTAACCAGAACTCAACAGGTTGCCTCCGCAACTCAAGCTCTGGAGAATCTATGCTGATGCTCTAAGAAAAATGAGAGTGCAGATATCTAAATGTCCACTAACACGTACCCTGGGAAGTCATCTGCCAAAGAGACAGCCAAAGAATTAAAAAACAAAAATGACCTGTAGATAAGAGTCCGTTGGAAATTTGAACTGGAACAAAATCTACTCATTCATTCAGTCACAGTTTACTAAAAGACTTCTCTGGGCAAGGTGTGGGGCCATTCAGCTCAAGGCTGTTTCAAGGAATTCAGGGAACAGGAAGACGAAAAAGTCCCTGTGATCTTACCCGGTGTTCATTGATGAGCAAGTCCCGAGCAGCATTAAATATCAGCGTGTGGAGGTGCTTTGAATAAAACACCAAAGTATAGTCATAATCGAAGCCATAGATTTCAATGTCCGACAGGCTCATTTCATTGTTAGAGAAAATGGCATCTGGATTCAACAAGTTGCTCATAATTGATGGAACCAATTCTGGAAGTAAAAGGAAAAAAATACATTATTCCACACAATATATAAAGGTTAGTATGATCTCTTTCAAAAAATGAGTAAACTGGAGTACAAGAGTGATCTGCTTCACGCTGAAAACAATGCTGCGTCACAAAGGACCATGTGACGTCTGAGCCTATTTACATGAAAAGTCCAGAAATGATCAATCCACAGGGGCTGGGGTTTGGGGGAAATGGGGAGTGACTACTAATGGGTATGGGATTTCTTTCGAGATGATGAAATACTCTAAAGTTGATTGTGCTGATAGTGATGGTTGAACACCCCTTGTGAATACACTAAAAACCACTGAATGGGAGACTCTAAGTGGGTGAATTGTAAGGCATGTAAATTATATCTCCATAAAACTGCACTAAAAAAGAATATTTGCTTCAATATCACAAAAAAGATTTGTTTTTTTAAAAAAATACACACCAGTTGGAGATTTTAGGAGATAAAAGTATAGACAAAATTTAAAAACCATACATCACTGCACCACCCAGGAAAAAACTATTGACATTTAATGTATTTACTGCCAACATTTTTCTATGTATGAATTTTACATAGTTGACCTTATACTGTAGTATAAGGTTAGTATTACACTCTCTAGATTTAATATCCAATCATGACCCTCTTTCTCATATGACAGGCCATCTGAGAATACAACTTTAAAGTATTACATAAGACTTTGGTATATTATTGTGCCATAATAAACCTATTATAGGTTGGGTATCCCTTCCCCAGAATGCTTGAAACCAGAAATACTTTGGATATCAGATTTTTTTCAGATTTTGAAATATTTGTATTACACCTACTGGCTGTGTATCCCTAATTTGAAAATCTAAAATCCAAAATGCTCCAATGAGCATATCTGTGAGTATCATGTCAATGTTCAAAAGTTTTAGATTTTGGAGCATCTCAGATTTCAGATTTGAGATGCTCAACCAGTACCCTGTTCCACATTTAAGTTTTTTCCTATTTAATAAAAACATCACAATGAGTGCCTTCATGTGTTAATCTCTGTCTGCCTTTCAGATTATCCCTTGAAATGGCTTCTTAGATGTGTGATCACCCCACATACCATCAGGGTCCTGCGGACCCGATGTCAGGTTTGAGTTTCTTTTTTGAGCAGTTCTATTTGTAAGGATTGCTTCTTCATGACTTCTATTTCTCATTGGAGGGCTTTCAAAATTTCATTCCACCCTACAATTCCCATGTGTTCACAAGACCCATTTATTTTATTTTTATTTTTATTCTTATTTTTATTTTTTGAGTCAGAATCTCATTCTGTCACCCAGGCTAAAGTGCAGTGGCACACTCATGGTCACCGCAGCCTTGACCTGTTGGGCTCAGACAATCCTTTCACCTCAGCCTTCCAAGTAGCCAGAACTACAGGCACATGCTACCATGCCCAGCTAATTTTGTATTTATTGTAGACACAAGGTCTTGCCAAGTTGCTCAGGCTAATCTCGAACCCACAGGCTCGGGTTATCCACTCGTCTCAGCTTTTCAAAGTGCTGGGATTACAGGCTGGGCCACCAAGCCAGGACTTTTTTTTTTTGGCTTTCAAAGAACACAGTTGAGAATTCATAATGTTTCCTTTTCCACGAATAATAGAAAAAGAAAGAAAGAAAGCAGATAGAAGAGACATCTCTCAGTGACTGAATGGGCCAGGAAATGATTATAGAGACAGACAGACGGCTGTTCTTTAGCATCTAATGATGATGGAGAAAGACCTCACAGAAGTGAAGTCTCAGACCACGAAGCCTCCATGACCACATCCTCGATGACATTTGGGATCAAAGACTGAGCAATATATGTCAAAAGACAAAAAAGAAACATGACATTCTTATATTAGTCGTTTAACAGCTAGTCAGTTACCAGGATGAACCCTATCACGTAGTATTTTATGCCAAGAACAGTCTAAATCTCTTTGGCTAAAAGGATATATGACAGTAATCTTTTACCTTTTATCATGTTTGTGCATCACAATTTGCTTGAAACAGCTCATAAGTTGACAAATGCTGAGGGCAGGTGACTTTCTGGTGACAGGTACAAAACAACCAACACATGCACACAAAAATTGAACTGTCCTTACTTTACTACTCTCTACCAAGAACAACCACCTGGATCCAGTAGGACAGCTAATATTTCTAAGTGCTTACCATGTACTCCGTGCTATCAAGAACACATTATCTCATCTAATCTCTTCAACAACCTGAGGAAGCAAATAACTACAGTACCCCCATCTTAGAAATGAAGACACCTCAGGCACACAGAAATGGCCTAAGTTGTCGAAGGATACGCAACCACCAAATGGCAGGGCTGGGATATGAGCCTGAGAAGTTTGGCTCCCAAATTGATGCTCTTAACGACTTTCCCCCGGATTAGAGGAATCAACCAGCATCTATGCAGGGTGCATTTTTTCTACAATCCATCATGTGTGTGTTTCCCCTTTCCTTTCTTTTAACTTATTTCTGAATACAAACAGCTCACAGTTATCTGCATCCTTTCTAAGGAGCCACTTGAAACACTTAAGAGGCACTTACTTATCTTGCAAGGCAACGTCTCCAATCAGGGTACCGAGGCCCCAGTCAGGGCACTGTCTCAGTTACAGTGGTATTCTACGCATTTCATAAGGCTCTTTAACAGCTCTGAGAAACGGATCCATTTGAAAACCCAACAGCAGCTATGGAGTCCTCTGCCCAGAAAAATGCATATACAGGTTTTGCAGACAATTTCAGGGGGTGGTCCCCTACAGCCTATTCATGGTCCCTCATTAAGTTCCCACATCACACCTCCTTAAAAATCAAGCCTTTCTTTCCCCACAAAGAAGTTCCAGGCCCATGAAGGCAAATATTTGAATGAGCACATGAATCTTACTCACACTGACCACTGAGATGTGACTGAGCCTGCTGAAGACCCCACATTCAAGACTCACCAGGACTTACATTTTCTCACTAGTTTCTTTTGTCAAAATCAATATGACAATAGCCACAGCTTTTGTTTTTCTTTTGCAAATAAAACAGATATGAAGATGGTAAACAGTAACATTTTAAGAAACTCAGAGGCAGGGAGTTCACAAGAACCAGCCCACGGAAGGAGAGAAGCCAGCAGACCCAAGTAACTCCAAAGACCTTCTGGCCTTTTATAATCCATGGGCTACTGCAGGTGGTGCTATTTTCTGAACATGACCACATGGCATTGTCCATATGATGCAAGGGAAATGGGATCGCTTACGGAGTGACCAAAAGCTCCACTTTCACAAATGACCTTACCAAGGGAGGTTCGAACCACTTGTTTAATTAAAAGTTTACGTTTAGAAATGGGGTGGGCAAGAAGGTCTAGCTCCCTTTCTATTACCTGAGAAGACTAGGTGAAGCCCCCAAGGAAGGACTATTCTGATGGAAAATCCTAGCCAGTCAGCACATCTCCAAAAGTCGTTGAAGTGAGAGCCTGAGGGCTACTAATCCCGTGAGCCCCATCACCTGAAAGCCTGGGTGTGTAACTTGCCATCCTCAGATAAACACAAGGAACAGCAGAGAAGCTTAAAGGATCTCAGCAGCCTGTGCAAACATTACAAAAAATGTTTTTTTAAGAACACACATAAATAACGGCAAGGCAAAGAAAGGAGTGCCAACCACTAACAAAGAGAAACCTGCCTAGACTCTAGACTCCACAGTATAAATCGATTATGCACATTCTCAAAGCAGAAACAAGAGTAGTACAAAACAGAAAATGAATTCCTTTTGCACATAACAAGAATGACAGCAAGACTATACAATCAGCACAGAGATACGAAAGATAGCTCTGCTGCCCTGATCAAAGCTCTGAGCAGAACTTGGCCTTACGCAGCTACTCGGAGCAGGAAGCCGTGCACCTGCCGGCAGACAGCATGCAGACTGGGTACCACCCCTCCCCCCCCAGCACACTCAGCCCCTTCCAGTCTTTTATCTGCTAATCCCACAGAGCACTGAGAATGTGGTAAACAACCTGCAGGAAAAAGCTGTACCCTTTCTGTTTTGGTTTGGGTTTTTTGTGGGGTTTTTATTGTGGTTATATATATACAGAACACAAAATTCACCATCTTAACCATTGGTAAGTACAACCCAGTGGCATTAAGCACCTTCACCCTGTTTTGTAACCATCCATCTCCACAGCTCTGTTTATCTTGCTAAACTGAACTCCATATCCATTAAACGTTCACTTCCTCTCCCTATTTCTCAACAACCACCGTTCTGCTTTATGTCCCCTCTGAATCTGAATATTCCGGGGACTTACACAAGCGGAGTCACACAGTATTAGTCTTTCTGCACAAGGTCCTCCAGGTTCATCCATGGTACAGCAAGTGCCAGCATCTCCTTCCCGCTTCAGGTGGAACAATATCCCGTGGTGTATACATACACAATATTCCCGTGTGTCTACACATAATATTCCCTTGTGTGTACACATATACTGCCTTCTGTTCATCCACACACCACTGATAGGCCCTTGGGCTACCTGTACCTTTCGGCAGTTGGGAACAATGCTGCTATGAACATGGTATGCACATTCTAGTCCCTGCTGTCAGTCCTTTTGGATATATACCTAGGGGTGGAATCATTGAACAATATGGTAATTCAATTCTTAATTTTTTTTAGAAACTGCTTTACTGTTTTCCATAGGGGCCTCAGCATTTTCTGTTTTCTTCTTTTAAGACTACCCGGGAAGAATACCATTCCTTGCCTAAATGCTGACAGAGTATGAAAGAAGGCAGAACTTCATCCTGGTACAGAGAACAGACAATTCCCATGGATTCAAGGAAACAATTTCAAACTATGCCAAGATCTCAGCTTGGGAAATCCATTTTTGCCAAGCACTGTGTCTCCTTTAAAGTTCAGAAATGACTCTCCTTTAAGTGACTCTCTCCCTTAGCAGAGGCTAGAGCCTGGCAGGGCTGTGAGAGGACAGCGTGTAGACATCCACAGTCTGAGTCATGCTGG